GTTTCATCTAAATGTAGACTTGGCTGTGCCATTCAGTTTTACATGGTTGTTTGCTCAAAAATGTCTCTGTTATATTTCATATCTATGGTCTAGATATAAGAACTCACCATTTAGACTCGAATCTGTTAGTTTGGACATATCTTCTCTGTTTGATTGTGATGTTTTATTTATCGAAATCAACTGAGTTTCTCCTCTTTCATTTGAGAGCCTCCGCCATAACAATTTAATTAAACAAAAATGTGTTAAGGAAATATAGTTTATTCAAATTAAAACCACATATTATTCAAAACCATTCTTAATTCCCACATGATTGGAAATTCAAGTCAACCACAATAATTGAATATTAAAAAAAAAAATATATATATATATATATATTTATTTATAATAAAGACACACAAAAACAATATTAAAAAGAAACACCAATGTGTACTCCGTTCCCCCCACCACTTGTTATTTAAAATTAAAAATGGCTTTATTTTTGGTCTTTGGATCCTTCCTAGCATTGCCTTCGAAATCTCCCATCTGCTTCCCTTACCGTCGCCTGCAACACTCTTTCCACTTCGGCTCCTCCCATCTGCAAATCCCATAGTTTCTTAAAAAATTAAATTCAAATTATGTTCGTTCTAAAGTTTATGGACCAAATAGACATAAACATCGACCCGGGTTAGTTCCTTACGTGGGTATCATCAATGGCTAATTGGGCTGAAAACAGAGAGTTGAAGAAATTGGCATGAATGGCTTTGGGATTTATGCGTCCAGTTTTAAGAACATTAAGAACAGCCAGCATTGAATCGATCCCAGCTGAAGGATTGGGCCATTCCAACCTTATGGGTTTTGTTCCTTTCGCATTCTCTCTGTTCTTCGCTGCAATCGCCATTTCCAGCTCTGAGTTTCTCCTCTTTAACATCTCCTCCGAGGCTCTCAGCTCTTGAATCGTCCTCGCCGCCGCTTGAACTATGGAGTTCTTATCATTCTAAAAAACAAACCCATATGGATCAGCCCATGAATTCGATTCAAAAACCGATGCAAAAAACGTACTGACCTTAGTTTTCTTGGGAAGCAGGGAGTGGACTCCCAAATAGCTCTGTTTCTCTCTCTCTCTTCTCGTCCTCTCGTTCATCATGTGCCTGTGACATTTCTCTCTCTCTAGATCGCCTAGAGCTGCCGCTTCTTTCTTCTCATGCCATTGCTTTCTCCAGTACTCAATCACCCGTTTGTTAACGGAATTAGAGGCGGCGGGGGCGGCGAGTTTGTTTTTTTGCTCGATTCGAAAATTGGGTCGTGACAGATATGGTACGAAAGCACTTTTTTGTTGTTGGGCGGGAGCGGAGACGGGGACGGGGACGGAGATGGGGGCATCGAGCCAGAAGAGATCATTATGCCAGAATTCTACTGGAAAAGTATCATCCATGGGGGGAGGTGAAGAACAGTTTTGTTGTTCTTTTTTCAAAAATCATTTGATTTGCAACGGTCAAGGAGATTGTTTGAGTGTGTGTGTATGTATATATATATATATATATATATGTTTTGGTGATGGAGATTAATAATAAATGAGGTTATTAAACACGTGATCAATGAGATTATTGTGGGGTTTATTTTTGGAGTCGGAGATTATTAAACATGTGGTTATTTGGACTAGTAGTGGGATTGTATTTGGTCAAACTTTCTGCCTGGCTCGTTTTGGAGGACTTGAACACAGGAATTGACTCAATCTTGAAACTCTTTGACCGTGGATCCCACACATGCATAGGTCCTAGTTGGGTTGGCGGAGGGATTTTTGATAAATTTTGAAGTTCCGGTTTGTTGGATCGGTAATTCAATCCAACTCGAAAATTTTCACAACCCAATTCTCTATTTTATGGTTAAGTTCGGGTTGTGAAATAACGAAGTCTGAACGGAGCAATTCGACGATAAACACCAAGTGGAGAAGTCTGAGGAAAGTGGAATGGAGCGCCGAGCAGTGAGATAGTTGGTAATGATGTCTGATGAGAAACATAGAGACGTGGTCGAGTGGAGAAATGGGAACTGAGAAGAGAGTTCAACGGAGAAATAAAGAGACGAGTGACGTTGACGTCCGAAGATACACATAGACGAGACATAGAGAGAGTTGAGAGGAGTCAAAAGACAAACACTATGATGCGAGTGTGTGAGAGCCGAGACTTCATTTCACTTACCTAATTACCCTCAAGGTTGAAGATGAACGCTGCGTGAGACTACGAGACAAAGTCTGGAACTCACAGTCAAAGAGTAGATAGAGAGTCAGAGAGAAAGTCTGCATAGTACAGAGACACATATGATGACTCATAGGCTTCTACCACATGGGCTTGGGCCTATTTTATTATTATTGTTTTTTTTAAGGCTTTCGAGTTGAGTTGGGTTGTCCCAATAATTTGAATTTTGAATCGAACACAATTCGAACCGGATCGGGTTCCATAAAACAAACCCACCCAAATGCAAAAGCCTTTAAAACCCAATCCAACCCTTATAATTCGGGTCGGGTCGGGTCGGGTGCCTCCATTTCAACACGAAGGAAGCCCAAAAACAAAATTGGCCCAATGGGCTTTGTCAACAACAAAGAACCAAAACCCAGTTGGGACGAGGTCCGTTGCAGCGTTAAAATTGCGATTTAGCGGGAGGCCGTGAAACTCGGTAACCGGAAGGGGCAACTTTCTTCTTCTTCTTCTTCTTCTTCTTCAGGTTTGTTCTGAAACCCTAGCTTTAAATCATTCTTCTGGTTATGTTTGATTCGTGTTAGTTGCTTCTCATTATGATTATTTGGATGCTTGAATTTCTTGAGCAATAGCACTTTCTAATTCTCTCTCTTTCGCTCTTCCACTCAAAATCACCAATGCTTCAATGGCTAAAATAGTGCCATTGTCAAAATTTTCAACGATCGTTTCTTAGTCTGTGTATGATGTGAAGGGGGTTTTCTATCTAATTAGTCTCCAATCATATATGATTAGAGTTTGATTCTTTTTGGTACGATTATATTGTTGCTCGAATTTACTGAACAATGTCGTTACTGATCACTCATGGATACACGCTAATGGTTTAATGGGAAAGGGAAGTGGTGCTATTTGATCATCACCTAGAAGGATCGATAGTTTAGCATGAGGATGTGTTTTTTTTTTTAACTGAGAATTTCATGTTTGAAATTTACAAAAAGAATGTGTTAGGATAAGGGAGGTATGACTATAAGAAGCAAAGGCATTAAACAATTTACTCCAAGAAGATATGAAAATTTAGAAGATTCTAGTATACGTTTGTGTTTTCTCTATGTATACTCTTTGATTTTTTTTTTTCTTTCCATAGATTCCAAAGGAAGTCCATAATAAGCTTTTGTCAGAGTTTTTGCATGTGACAGATAAGGCCCATGTCCAATAAATCCTTTACCTCCCTAGGAAAAGTGAGATGCCATTTAAAAATATTGAGAATATTTATCCAGAAATTATAAGTTATAAGTATATGTGCACTTGATTCGATATCTTTCTTGCATAATTAACACAAATTTGAAAATAGAATCATGTAGGGCATTCTTTGGTTGTCATTTTTAATATGGGTTTAATATTGTTGGGGTTCTCCTCCAGTCCCCTGCTCTATTCCCTTTTCACCTTGGAGCCCAGCTTTCCTAAATATGGTAGTGGGGAAAATACAAGAATAAAGAAAATCAGGGTAAATAATGTGAGTTTTCTGTTCTAGAGTAGCCATAGATTATGTTGAAGGCGACTAAGAGAGTGAATCTGATATATCACTTGGCAAATTAGTTAAATCTTGAAGCATGACTAAAGCAATATGAAATTTATCTCTCAGGGAAGTGAGTTATTTTCTTTTTTTTATACATGCACAGGCAAGTTGAGTCTGGGGTGATGAGTGTCAGTCAATTCAGTCAGATTGGCCTTTTGGTGCCATTTGTTCAAGACATTGTTGGATTTGGAAGTAACTGATAAACTTTCTGTTTCTCTGCTTTATTTGCATTTATACTAGATTATAAGAATGGTAATGGTGGTCAAATCCATTGGAGGAGGCTCTTTTCATTTTTCATTATTATTCTTATTCAAAGTTTTAAAGGTAACATTGTAATTGTGTTGCCACAACTGGATATTGGGAAATATGATAACTTTAGTTGCATCGTTTGAATTTAGATAAAATGCTACTTAGAATCAAAATACTGATTGTAACTTGTAAGTCTTATTCCTCGAGATTTCTGATAGGTTGAAGGAAGAAGTAGGAAAAATGTTTCTCAAAGTGCAGCTGCCATGGAATGTCATAATCCCTGCTGAAAACTTAGATGCAAAGGGCTTGATGCTCCAAAGGTCTATTATAATCCGTCTGCTAGATGAATTTGCCACAAAAAAGGCCACAAAGGATCTCGGTTATTTCCTCGCAGTTACGACTCTAGAAAATATAGGAGAAGGGAAAGTTCGACAGACGGGTGACGTCTTGTTTCCAGTTGTCTTTAGTGGTATCACCTTCAAGCTTTATAGGGGAGAGATCTTGGAGGGGGTTGTTCACAAGGTTCTCAAGCATGGTGTTTTCTTGAGATGTGGCCCTGTTGAGAACATATATCTCTCTTATCTGAAAATGCCAGATTACCGCTATGTGCCGGGCGAGAATCCCCTGTTCATGAACGACAAGCTTTCAAAAATTGAGAAAGATGTAGTCGTACGTTTTATCGTCATTGGAACGAAGTGGCTCGAGGCAGAAAGGGAGTTTCAGGCACTGGTGAGTTTGGAGGGTGATTATCTAGGGCCAGTTTCTTAATGAATTTCAGGCACTGGTTAAGTTTGTATTCTGTATCTAAGTACATGTCTCGATAACATTCGGACTCATTTCGATGTAACTAACTTTGTTGGATGTTGGAAGTTTGGGATGGAACAAAGTTTAGGGGACATTATTAATTGAAGCTAAATGTTTGTAGGAAGTTTCTTGGACAATGAACAGTGTCCCACTCTGTTTAATTATCTTGTTTATTGCTGCATATGGACATAGAATATGTTAGATATTTAAGTTCCAAGCATTCAACTCTTGGATGTTTATTATACTCATGAAACATAGCCTACGAACCAAATGGATCGCAGGCTCATCATACAGAGTTTCTATTGAAGAAGATGAATAAAGAGAACAAAAGAACATCCTTAGTATAACCCACATGGCTTTAGGTGATGAGCAGAGGCAGCCAAATGGGGTATTATTTAGCGGTAGTAGAAGAAGAATAAGATGGTCTAAAGAACATCAGGGCCGCCATGGCAGCATGTGAATCTTATACCGCTTCCCATGTAACGACGACACACAGGGCAGGTGATGATCAGAGGAATCCACCCGCTAAACCCGATTATATTCACATGTGTGCAGTGAAGGCTGCTGGCAGTGAGCTCGTCGAAGTAATCTTTGAAAGAACCAGAGAAGCCTACTCGACGCAAGTTTTTCTTCCATACTTGGAACTCGTCAATGGCTTTTAGTATCAAATCGCCACCACCGATGAACACGACTATCGGACCTTTGGTTATGATTGCCCATCCTTTCTCAGTTTCGTAAGATATCAATCGGGAGATATCTTCGGAGGCAGTCGATCCATGGAGTTGATGCTTGAGAATGAAGTAACTCCGTTGCGCCATCCAGAAATTAAACATGACGGCCGGGTCATGTTCGCCTTTGTTGTTCCGTCCCACGGGTACTAATTCAAATGTAATTCCTTCTTCTCTGGTCACAGGATCTCTCTTCATGGCTTCTGCTGAGTCTTCAAAATTTTTAACCCATCTGGGATTGTGTCCTCCATAGAATATGACATTCCTTTCCTGGTTAATCTGGTTCAAAGGACGGTTGTTATGAGCTTAGATTTTGAACAATCAAATGGTTATCAAACGAGACATGTCTCTAAGAAAAGTGAAACAAAATGCAGAAGTCAAGAAACAAGAACGTTACCACGACCAAGCTCTTCAGCCTTGGTTGATCGGTATATTTAAGAACAGTTGAATCGATCCAATTCTTCTTCATTAAAGCTTTTACCCTGTCGTATGAGAAAGGAATGGCCTCTTTTTCCCATACTCTCGTCAAATGGATAGCATTTGAGAATTCGACTTTCGATTGTGTATCGAGAACGACCAGCAATAGGTCTTCTCTAAGCTCCCATCTCTCCTCCAAGAACCTCACACCTGCAATTTTTGCAGCAAATGGCACTACGAACCATTTCATTTCAGATTTCAAAGCTTCATATGCCTCCTCATCACCATCATTGGGAGGGTCTGAAATCACAGGAATCCAAACCATTTCAAACTTGTTCTCCTTCTTCACTTCCTTGTAAACCGATTGAAGAATCTCAAGATCTTCTCTTGAAAAATTCAAACTCCTTGAAACTATCAATATCAACTTCTTTTCCTTCATAAACTCTTCAATATGTTCCTGCATTCATACAGATTGTGTTGAACTATATTCAAATGTTCTTGAAAAACATATCAGTTTTTGCAATGTAAATGAATGTATTTGAAGACCTCCAATTGAGTAGAACAGTTAATGAGAGGCCTGGCTTTGTGTTTGCCATTGATCAGCTTGGCAAGGAACAGCGTGACATCGGTAGGAAAATGATCGGTTTGGTCGACCAGCCATCGATAAAGTTCTACCTCTTCTGCAGAACAGAACCCATTTTTTTTCTTTTCCTTCAGTTTCTTATTAAGTAAATGGCTACAAGAAAACTTCCATTAGAGAAGAAGAAATTGACCTTGTTGTTCTCGGATGAACTGCATATGATTCTCAAGTGTCAAAACTAAACTGCTCACCTTTTCTGTCATTTCATTCAAATATTTCTGTGTTTGACCTCTGAAATTGCCTCAACAACCAAGCAAAACAAAATGTTATCAAATGATAAGACAATGGACTTCATTGTCGTAACAAACCAAGCCTACTGCTAGCAGATATTGTCCTCTTCGAGCTTTCCCTTTCGGGCTTCCCCTCAAGGTTTTAAAACGCGTTTGCTAGGGAGAGGTTTCCACACCCTTATAAAGAATGCTTCGTTCCCCTCTCCAATCGAGGTGGGGTTTCACATAAGCCGTTGAAGTTTAATTTTTGAACAGACTCTGAAAGGCTTTGAAACCACATGTCATTTCGTGGAATACACTTGGTGTTGACCACTCTCACCTTAATCTCTTCCCCTCGAACAAAGATATACTTCTCCTATTAGTCTACCCGACATGTACGTGATACGTCTACTCTCCATTCAAATCTACCTGATTTGATAGAGCTCTTTTTGCCTACCACCTCTCAAACATTTTTGTCCCATCTCGGAATTCATCCACAAGTCTCACTAATTTTGTGACACAACTAAGTTTAGATCATGACTTAAATACCTATTATTGAGGACAATGAAACTCCACCTGTATTCATGTTAGTATGATATTGTCCACTTAGAGCATAAGCTCTGATGACGTTGTTTATTATTTGATATGAAAAATTTCTATCTCTACTCGTGGCGTGGAAGATCGAAAAAAAAAAAAAAACTTACTCGACCCCAGAGAGATAGCAATGAAGTTCAATGCTGGAAGCCACGAGAATGTGAATAATCCAATAAGAAACCAATGGGATCTGGCGAAGTGCTGCAGATAACTCAGGCACATCTTTTGTATCATATTTTGATAAGCTCTTGAATTCATTTATGTATTTAACTGCCTTCAAACAATTGTAGATCATACTGTTTTGGTTGAAAAACACCTGCCCATACTTCACAGACTCCAACTCCTTTCTCAGCAAACCCACTCGCTTGATCATTGCCAATGATTTAGCGAGCGGATCCGAATGAGAGTGATTGTCGAGATGCCACAAAACTCCATAGTTCGTCACGAACGCTGTAAAGATCAGCACCGCCTTGGCCTCCCATGGATATCTTGTGAGTTTCGAGAGAATGTCGAGAGTCGTTTTGTGTACTGTTTCTACCCCTGGAGGCTTACATGCCATCTGAAATTTTATATCCTAAACATATTAGTTTCAATACCAATTGGGAAGAACATGTAGAAGTTTTTGTGATGATTAATGACCTCTGATGAGATTTGATGAAGGGTGCAGATTGGAGGATCAATTGGGGAGGGATAATTCATGGTGTCCTCTGCCAATACAAAATGCCCTTTGCTTCCTTGTGCCTGAAATGATAGGGCGGCCCGAGCGTAAAAAATTTAATATCAAGTAAAGTGGATTTAGGGGCGTAAGCATAAGCACTGAACTTGAAAAGGGATGAGATTCATTCACTTGCATTACTGGTAGTACTAGAAAAAGCTTAGTTAAATGTACTTTGCATTGAATAACAAGAAAAAAAAACTCGAGATCAACGAGAAGGCAAGTGAATCTAACCCAATGAGAAGCTACACAAATCTGATCTGAGGCTTTGAGGACGTTTTCAATGAACAAAACGTAGTTATCAAGGTCGATCTTCGTCATCTCCTCGTCGGTCGTAAAGTCGAATATACGATTCGTGATAACATCATCGGACAAGTGCTTTAGACCCGGCTCTTCCTTGTCTGTTTGCTGTGATAAAGCAAGCGCCAAGGCAGCGGCCGAGCTCTTGGGACGAAGTAACGACATGGTTTGTTTGGAGTCGAGATAGAGAGATTTGGTTTGATGCTATTTTATTGTATATTCCTTTGCTTTGATTTGTATCTTATTTATAGCTCTCTCATAAAGGTGAAAAATTAGAGAAAAAGCAAAGAATTTGAAGGAGTTTTTGTTCAAAGAAAGAATGAATTTCATTGGTGATACTTAGATGGAGCTTTAATCAAGTTTCTCTTCAAAGCTTCATTGAGTGCTTAAAGAATATAGATATATACTATTTTTTACTTTTGTTTTGATACTTTGGGTGACTTGTTAACTAAAAAATTTCCCATGTAAACATCAAGTTCTTTTAGTTTTGAATTTTCGATCTAGATCCACTTTGGCAAGTTTTGAAGAACGAGGTCGGTGAGATCCCACATCGGTTGGAAAAGGGAACGAAATATTCCTTATAAAAGTATGGAAACTTCTCCCTAGTAGACACGTTTTAAAACTGTGAGATTGACGACGATACATAATGAGCTAAAACGGACAATATCTGTTAACGGTGGGCTTGAGCTGTTACCCGGCTAAATTTTTTTAATAATTGATAAAATAAAAAGACGTATTTACCAAGCATAGAGAAGAAATTACATTTTAGGAATGAATTGTACAAAGTTCCAACCATTATTGCTGGGGAAGAGATCGAACCTTTGATGTTTTAGATTATAATTAATATTTTATTTACTAAACTATGCTCTAGTTGACAGGCATAAGTCAATTGAATTAGTCAAATCTCGATCTTTGTATACAAGTATTAAGCGTGTTTATATGACTCAATAATTTGAACAATTCGAATTACCTAACTCAGATTGAGTTGGTATATATATATATTTCAGTTTGGGTTGAGTTGAAATTCGATTAGATTCGTGGGTTAGAGCTTTGTTAGTCGAGTCAATCTAATCAACCCGAGAGTAGGGATCACAACTCAACCTGACTTTTAAGCTTGCTAAGAAAATTAAAAGTATTTTAAGTTTGTATAAATGTTAATAATGCATGATGACATTTGAGTTTTATGAGATTTTAACTATTAATTTGATATGTGATGTGAACAAGTATGATTTTTTAAATAATTAAAAAAACGAACTATCCGACTATCCATACTAATCAACGTAAAAACAAGTATGAGTTTTCTTACGGTTGGAGAAAGACAAAAGTCGGTTCGAAAGCTTAAAATTTACGCGTTGAAAGTGTAATACTAAGCTACATTTTTCTTGAACATATTCTCTTCGTACTTGAATATGTGAAAAAGCATTAAAACTGCAAATAATTTGAATAACAACAAAAGTTTTGATTCCAAAACAGAAATTATTAAAGCTGCACATCATATATATTCATCAACATATTTTTAATCTTTATATTTTGATCTACCTGTATATTTTTCACAATTATATCTCGATACTTATATGTATGTTCTTAAAAGTTTGCCATTATAGAAATGGAGTTCGTGTTATACGAATGAACTACATTTCATGCAGTTGTCGATATCTCATGCGAATCTCCCTCTTTGATAAATTTTTTTGATAAAAAACATTGACGTAAAAAGTTTATTGGTAATATTTACGTTAAAGAACTTAGAAGTAGACTTTTGTTGCACGATGAAAGTCTCACATTGGCTAATTTAAAGAATGATCATGGATTTATAATAAAAAAATACTCTTTCCATCCGTATGAGGTCTTTTGGGGAAGCCCAAAGCAAAGCCAAGAGAGTTGTGCTCATCTAACCGCTTTAGTTTATCTTTAGGTTTAGCAGAAGGCTATATAATGCCATTCTTTCGGCTGTTGAAATCATCAAGTTTTGAGTGTCATATTGTATGTTGTGAGTGAGTACATTGGTTCCGCTTTTGGCGCACAACACTTTCCTATTCTTTTACAACCCAACTTATGCACATGTCAACATGGGTCGCCCAACCCTCAAAACACTAGCCTTGAGCCCACTCCACAAAGCACACCAATTCAAGATTCGAAGACCGATCCGTAGCTGGGATTTTGGAAAGCTGTAAAGAGATTGAAGAGGGATCCCATGAATCCAATGTTTAGGAAGATAAAGAAGCATAACGCCACCAGCATACTAATCAATGAGTGACCCTCTAACCCTAATACAAGTAACAAAGGAAAAGGGGCGATCTCCAGACCATGTTACCAAGTTCTTCGAGACTAAATCTCCTCCTTATCCGAGCTCCTTTCAGTAGAGTAGTTGAGAAGTACTTGTAACCGTTCAAGCTCTTTTTCTTCTGACCTCTCCCTCAAGATTTTTAAAACGCGTTTACTAGGAAGAGGTTTTCACATCATTATAAAGAATGCTTCAATACCCTCTCCAACCAACGTGGGATCTCACAATCCACCCTCTTCAGGGCCCAACGTCCTTGCTAACACTCGTTCCTCTCTTCAATCGATGTGAGATCTCACAATCCACTCCTCTTCGGAGCCCAACGTCCTCGCTAGCACACCGCCTGGTGTCCACCCCCTTTAAGGCTCACTGTCCTCGCTGACATATCACCCAATGTTTAGCTCTGATACCACATTTCTCGCTGTGCCTTGAAGGAGGGTGTAGAAACCTCTCTCTAGCAAACAACGTTTTAAAAAATTTGAGGGAAAAGTCTAAAAAAGACAATATTTATTAGCCGTGGCTTAGACTATTATAGTACAAATATGAGAATCCATTCCTATAATAAAGTATGCAAACTTATATGCTCGGTTGAACATCACTTTGACTCGTTACTAAATTAAGCATTAGAGTGTGTTGAAGAAGACACCACACTAAGCTAGGAAAAAGTAGGAAAAAAACAGTCAGAATCACACAACAAGCATGTTAAAGTATTTCAAAAGAATTCCCAAAGTTGGGATTCTAAGGGGACAAAAAGAATAACAAAGTAGTTTACTTGTAAAAGTAAGTGAACTAATAATTAGTTGAATTCCCGGATTTGAAGGTCTTAACCCCTTTATCCTCGACAAGAATAAGGTTATGTATATCATTAATGAGGACAGAACAATTAAATTAGGATAATTTTTGGTCGGATGATGCTTTGTAAGAACAACCATGCTCTTTACTCCAAACAAAATCAGATCTTTGTTCCTTACTAAAAGGCATAAGGAAACATCAGCTGTCTGTGTTTAAGGAAAGAATAGATTCTAAGCAGCAGCGGTCTTTGTCCTACGTTTTTTTTTCTTCTTCTATTTCACTTTTCATCCTTATTAGGTGAAATTTTTTCTAGGAATTGAATAATTTGTGTTACGGCCCAAATCCACTACTAACATATATTGTCCGCTTTGACCCATTATGTAAACTAACATATATTGTCCGCTTTGACCCATTATGTATCGTCGTTAGTCTCAAAGTTTTAAAATGCGTCTTTTCGGGAGAGGTTTCCACCCTTTATAAAAAATGTTTTGTTCCCCTCTCTAACCCACGTGGGATCTCATAATTCACCTCTCTTAGGGGTCGGCGTTCTTGCTGGCACATCGCTCGGTGTCTGGCTCTGATACCATTTGTAATCATCCAAGTCCACCGCTAACAAATATTGTTCGGTTTGGCCTGTTATGTATCGCTATCAGCCTCACAGTTTTAAAACGCATTTTTTAAGGAGATATTTCCGCACAAAAATAATACAATGCTATTCTTTAGAGAGGGTTGTCTTTACTATTGTCTCTTCATTTACCATTCTTCTAAGACCTATAAATACATAAACTAAATCAAATAAACAATCAAAACCCTTATTTTCTCTCTATATCTATCTTTTTTTTCCCTTCTCTTCCCATTTCGTTTCTTTGTGAACCCATGTTTTTGGTTCCACCAAGAACCCTACCACTTCACTAGTTCATCCCAAACAGCAAAACTTCAAGAAAGGATTGATCCTCGAACCTTCTCCAACGACATCATTACAAATCTGATTTGCACATAACATCGTTAGGATGATAAAATAAAAACTGATATCGATATTTATAGCTTATTGGTTGAAATCTTCGTTATAACAGTGGATCGAATCACGTTATAACAGTGGATCGAATCACGTTATAACAGTGGATCGAATCACGAACAGTGTTTCCAATGTTTCCTTGATGCTTCTATGAGTTCACTATTTTTTTTAGACCGAATACCAATTTGGGGTTTATGGACTTTCGTGATGACACCCAAGTAAAGAAAAGGTACATGAATAAACCGAGTTTTATTCCTCAATCATAAGAACTCCATAGTTAAGAATGCTTTGCTTGAAACAATTCTATGTTGGGTGGCCTCTTAGAAATTTTCCTAGAATGCATGTGAGTGAAAACAAAAATGTTGAAAAAATTCGGATTGGTATGTGGGGATCGTTTTCACTCTTAGAAACAAGGAGTAAGTAACGTGACCATATTGCAAAGAAATGTCGAAGCCATCAGGTATCAAATCTAGATTTCAAACCCTAATTCAATTCCTGGACATGGGTTGTTACAACTTTTATACCCTATTCAATAAACGTGAGATTGAGAGGATTCAAACACACTTAAATGAGGTTGACAACGAGAGGAGTAATACATCCTCAACTCAATGACCTAAAACCCCTCTGATTCTGAAAAACATCAATAATAACCATTTAGTTATTGAAAATTAAGTTGTAAATACTAAATATATATTTTTTTTAAAAAAAAACTTATTCTTATTATTAAAGTTTAAATAAAAATTCAAATCCTTAATTAGAAATAAAGCTTCCAAGGAATATTTTCTTTTAAAACAAAATGCCAAACTTAGTGACCACTTTAACTCGTTTTGTTCTTCATGAGCTTTACAAGCCAGATGGTGTGCCTAGCTGAACCTGAAATCTCTCCTTAACTTAGGGTTTCTTTTTCCATGCTTTAATAATAAAGAACTCTAAAATTAAAAATAAATAAATAAATAAATACAAATCCATCCATTACAACCTTTTATTGCATGTTTTTTAAGAAAGGTTATGTGCAAAGAGAAATAAGCTGTACATGCATGCCACCGTACCAAAACTAAATAAACTAATACAAAAAAAGAGTAAGTTTTTGATCGAGATATATTTTAAGTTCATAGACAAATATTTCATTTTTA